TGTCGGGTGGTTGTCTTGTTGTTACTGCTCGGCCTGTCGGGTGGTTTTCTTGTTGTTACTGCTCGGCCTGTCGGGTGGTTTTCTTGTTGTTACTGCTCGGCTTGTCGGGTGGCTGTCGTGTTGTTACTGCTCGGCTTGTCGGGTGGTTGTCTTGTTGTTACTGCTCGGCTTGTCGGGTGGTTATCTTGTTGTTGTTACTGCTCGGCTTGTCGGGTGGTTGTCGTGTTGTTGCTGCTTCCTGGTAGATGGTAGATGGTAGTACTTGCGGTATTGTCATTATTGTCGGTGGTTGTCGTTGGTTGGCTGTAGATGATGATCGTGGTGGTGGTGTTTTGCCGTGCTGTTGTTGCTGTCGTTGCTGTTGTTGCTGCGGGTACGGGTCAACATAGGGTGTGGACCCGCCAACTGCCATCGGCAGTGCTCGGTCCGAGTGCCCTCCGGACGGCAGAAACCAATCTCCGCTTGACTGTTGTTGGCCTGTCTTCTCTTCTTCCGCTGTCCGCCGTGCACTACTCGTCAGGGACTGATCCGGTTCTGGCCATGGAGTTGTTCGTCGAAGCAAGTGCTGTTCCTCAACGAGCTCGAGGACGTGTTGGAGCTACTCATGGATGAACAGGTGTGTACGTGTATTTTTTTTCATGTTATTAGCATGAAAAGCGCCAATCGGCTCAACATTGAAAAGATGTCAGTCTCAGTACGGTTGAAAAGAGTACATCGCTTTTCAAGGCCTTCGTCTGGGACCCCGTGAGGGGGCGTCATGGGGGGACGCTAGAGCTACATGCTCTTCGGATTGGAGACAGAAACGGTGCAGTAGCAACAGGAAGAACCGCATGTGTGTGTTCGTCCCATCATACATGGTGTTGTAGGTATGTTGGCACCAGTTCGTTGTACTCACCTTTCGGTGAACGCCTTTGACGTATGTATCAACCGGGGTCACACAGGAGCGTTCTTTTTCCCTTTTTTTTTTTCGTTCCGAGGCACCATGCGATTCTCGCCACCTCTTTCGTGCTCCATCTACAAGCACTAGGTAGGCTCGAGGTCGAGTGTTTGGTGGAGAATGGATGCTATTCATTCACGCAAAACATGTCGTTCCTCGTGTCATTGCCGTTCCCCTCTAGGGGCTAAAGGGGCCATGCATACAAACATCTGGTTGCAACTGAAAATGAAGCTCCGGAGTAATCAACCAGACATTTTTGCTCTTGGTGTCTTACGAAAGAGCATTGCATGAGTAAAACAGCAAATACAACAACGCACAGCAGTCACACACGTTTTCGTTCTATATTTTCTTGTTGCATCTTTTCGTGCTCGCTGTTTTTTTGTTGCGTGTTGGTTCTTTTCAGCTTCAGCAGGTGCACGACAAGCTTTTCCACCTCCTGGCGCAATGCCTCGCAAGCCAACACTTCCAGGTGAGAAAACGTGCACGGTACGTGCAAGGGGCAAGGAAGTAACAGACAAAACAGCGGAGATGATGCCTATCATCAACCATTGCGTGAATAACCCACCAAAATATTAGGACCGCCTGGGCAAGAAAATTGGAGTATCTAGAAAAAGAATGGGGGGGGACGCAGACCCTATCCTTACACCTAACCCTAACCCCAAATCACGGATTTAACACTGTGTTCCGTATGTTTGCTTAGTCGATTTCACTGCGTTGACTAACACAATATTGTATCAACGTTGCCCGTAAACTCGTGTCCAAGACGACGACACCCTTGGTGCGTAGAAGCGGTTGATGTAGAACTCGTTCACACCAGATTTGGAAGTGGCGTGCGGAAATCGAGCACTCAAATACATGATTTTTGACCACCGCGGCAGGTGGCAGAACGGACGTTGTTTTTGTGGAATAACGAGCACTTGGTGAGCAAGGGCTGCTTCAGCAGGGGATACACACACTCAATACTGCCAGTCATCTACGGTAAGTGTCAAACGGTGGCCTACTAGTATTTTGTTTCTGTCTTGATCTTATTTGGCACAATAGCATGTCTTCTTGGTGCGATGCTTGAGAAGTCGCGAAAGCCTCCCCTGTCTGGCCTGCTGTTGTTCTCGTCCTCGAAGGGTGTATCAGCGGACTAGGTAGGTAGCCGGCGTGTCTTTGGTCTGCTGTTTACATATTTTTTTACGGAAAAAAATGTGGTCTGCTGTACGTTTATTTTTTTCCCGAAAAATAAGGCGTTTGCGTCTTCCGTCCTTGTCGGTGCTGCGTATTGTCAGTCGAGCAGAGTGACGGTTGGAGGGTGTTTTGAAAAAAGCAACAAAGGTGGTTTTGTTGGGGTTTCTTTGTCTCCCTAATCTCGGACTCGCACGACTACTTCTACTACTGTTACTACGACTGTTCTTGCTGCTGCTGCAGCAGCAGCAGCTCGCATTTGGAGCGTTCTGGTTGCTGACACTTTTGGCCTGTCTTGGGCCTATGTATGCGATGTGTGTGATGCACGATGAAATGGCAGGCCCCCTCCACAAGCACTCGCTGGGGCACTGGAACAACACCGTGGAGGGCTTGGCGCAGAACGTGCTCAAGATGTACATGGAGTTCGACATACATCTCTACGATAGGTAAGAGAAGGCCCCCCGCCAATCCAGACGTTTTGCCGTTGGTGATACAGCAGCAGTACCGGGGGGAGCTTGTGGAAGAGACTCGTTTCAGGAGGCAACAAGATCAAAATAGGGTGACCGTGTCTTGTTTCCGCTGTGAGAAATACATGGTATTTTCACTGTACGGTTTCAGAGAAACCCGAATTTCAACGGGTGTTCGTAGGTTGTCTCGGCTGGTCCCGCCCCGACCTTCTGTTAAATCTGTACCCAATATTGCGATGTCTTCCGTGTGGTTTTGGTCTATGGGTCCGTTGTACACCTAGCTCTGTGACAGGACAGGTCAGTGTCTTATCACGGCGGTTTCGTCGGCCTTGGGTACGTTGCCGTTGTTGTCGTCGTCGTTGCCATGTTTTTGCTGTTTTTGATCTTGTTTCCTTTTTATCTTTACGCTTGCTGGTTGTTGTTGTTGCTGCTGCTGCTGCTGCTGTTCGTAATATCGTGTTGTTCCGTGGTTTGCTGTTTTGCTTTTGGTCGCCTTTTGGTCTTTGCTCTTGCTGTTTGTTCATGCCGTCGCCGTTGCTGTTGTTGTTGCTGCTGCTGCTGCTGCTGCTGTTGCTGCTGTGTTCAATTGTTTTGTTCCTGATGCGGCTTCTCCGTTGCTATTGTTGTTTTTGGTCCAGGGTGCTGTCGGAACACCTTAAGCTCGAGGCGGAGGCGGCGCAAAGGAAGGAGGATGCCTGCAAGAAATGGGCGGTGAGAATTGTGAAAAGAACAAGAGTCGTAGCTCAGTTGGGAGAGGTTGCACGGCCGCGTGTCTCTCTAAGCCTGTCCCTGTCCTGTGGCCCGCGCATCCATTTTTTATCAACACAGCAAATAAGCATTTCGCCGTGGTTCTACCTGTTTCCGCAAAGCCATAAAATGCAAAATTCAAAAGTTGAATAGATGTTGTAGTTTTTTTATTTCGCACGCTGTGAGGGCAGACGGACGCAAGATATCGATAACACCGAAACAGGCAGAGCTGGGCGCATTAAGGGTGGACCGATTGTCAATGATTTTGTCGCGATTCTTTCTTCATTCGTTGAGCTTTGTTGACATTTTTGATTGGATTTCGGCCGCTGTAGTTGCTTTGGTTGCTTGCGATAGCAGTACGCCACCAGCAATCTTACTCATGTCCTTCTACCGGTGCTCCCTCCCGCTGCCTGCCGTTGCTGCCATTTTTTCTCTTCTCTGCTGCTGCTGCTGCTGCTGCTACTACGTTACCACCATTTTATGGTGTCCTCTGGGCACGGTCGTGGCTCCTACCGGCTGCATCTACGGTATCTACGATGCGTTTGTATGTGAAAAAAACGTCAGGTGCTGGAAGAAAAGGCTCTTTCAAAGTGAAAGGACGCCCCTCCCTCTTGTACAAGGCCCAACACCCCGCCACCGGTACCATTTGTGTGTCCCCCCATGACGAAAGAGTGCACCATGGGGCTGTGGTTTTATTTATTGTGCATGCTGATGCCTGGCTCCTTTTTGATGGTTGAATCCGGTGCGTTTGTTGGAATCTATCTCTCCCGCCGGAGGTTGGTTGCTTCTTCCCCACGGTTGTACCCACATGGCACGGCTTAGTACGATTTCCTCGCGATTTGCTGCTTGTCCGAGCGCCGGGAATCACCGGCTGCGGGCCCCCCGCTTGCGTCAAGAAAGTGCCTAAGATACGGGAGAATTCCGGCGAAAGCTGGAGGAGTCAGGTCTCGAGAGCGAGGGAGGGGGCTAGAGCGGCGATGGTGGCCTTGGAACCGACGCCCTTTCAGCGTCGACGTTGTTGGCTGAAAGCTCTTGCACGGTCGATGCTGTTGGCGAAAAACAATCTCTCTTCTCATCATCATCATCATCACACGGCGGTTGCATGGACCCGTGCCATAGTGTATTTGTGGGTATTCTAGAAAACGTGTCGATTGCGGGCGCGCGCGCTTTAGGATCTACGTAGAACCGAGCAACGGACCCTCCCCCCTGTAGCGGCGGTTGAGCATCGGCGGCGCCCCCAACAATACCGGCGGTGGTGGTCACGAGGAGGCCCATGGCTGTTGGTTGACCGCTGCTCTTGCTGCTAGTATATGTGTGATCAACCGCAGGCCAAAATAGATCGACAGTTGAGTCTCGGCTGGGCTTTGCCCGATCGGGGGCTGGTCGACCTTTTTCGGACTGTTGGGGCAGATGACCGTTGGGCAGACGATCGGTTGTTTTGTCCGTTGGCAAGTAAATCCAGACAAGCGCTCTTTCCCCGCTGTCGCACTGCTGTATTGGCGGTTTTGGCGAGCAAGCGTTGGACCCGTAAGCTGGTTGTCCGCTCGCCAATGCAATGGATGCCACTTTGAGCACTGATCAGATGAAAGTGGATGGACTGATTGGGAGGGGGGGGTGGGGGGGGCTTTCTGGAAGGGGGTAGACAGATTGTTGTGTCGTTGTTTTCGTTGGTTGTTTCTGTTTCGACCGTCATCGTCGTCGCTGTCATCATGGTCGTCGTGGTTGCGAGATAGAAGAAGCGAAGGTAGAGGCTCGTTATATCTACGACACGATGTGTGGAGTGTGGGTCGGGAATAGGAAGGCAAGGTTGCGTCTGAACTCGAATGGATGGTTGTTCGACAGACGTGCGGATAAAGAAAGTTCTTGGTTTGCTTGTCGTCGTCGTCCTGACCGATCGATCGTTTTTGGCTGTGTTGTTTTTGGTTTGCGGATGTGTAATTCGCGATGGAGTCCGGTGATATTTCCATCGCGGCGAGAATAATAATATGAAGCAAGTGAGCAAGAGAGGAGCAAGCAGGGGAAGGGAGGGGGGGGGGCGACGCCGGCGTTTGCCGACCCCCCGCCCCCCTCTTCCCATTACCTTGGAAACACAACCAACAATAAATCTGGCGGCCCACAGTTGCGTTGGTGTCGTTGTTGTGTGCGACGCTCGTGAAATCGGCGAATATACATAGAGAAAGTTACGATCGGGTCTAGGATTTAGTTTCATGGTCGATGATGATACAAAACCAAGAGTCGTTTTTCTTCGTCTTTCCTGCCATCTTTTTGGCGCCCAAAATAACCGACGTACTTCGCCGTTTGGACAACATGCGTGTTCTTTCTCGGAAGGGGGCCAGGGGTGGGGAGTGTGCAAGGAAGCGTTTGTACAAAATCTTGCTCCGAGTTGTGGGGGTCCCCCTCCTCCCTACTGTAGGCCTACGTACCCGTCCAACAATCACGGGTGCTTGGTGCTGTGGACCCCGACAAAATACTGCTCTTGTCGGGGTTTTGGGAACCGTTCGCGGAACGAACGTTCGATAGAAAACCTGGTCCCTGGAGGGGGTGACCCGTATACGACAACGACTCTTGGAGGTAACAAAGCCAAGTTCGAATTTGCTTCTTCGTTCTCTTGAAGGAGGACCGTTCGTTGGTGCTTGCTTGTCGAATTCGTTTTCCTCGTTGTGGAATTTCTTGTTCAAATTGGCACTGCTCTTTGTTGCTGTTTTTGTTGTTGGGATTCTATCATTGGTGCGGCTTGTTCGAAAGAGCGGGGGGCGGGGGCGGGGTGTGTGGGAGGGCTCCTTCCCACGCCACGTTGTACACGTACAAGTACAGAGTTGTTGGCTTTCTGAGAGGAGACGTGATGGATGACCATAATGATGCAATCAATGTTGTGGACGTTTTTTCGATGATTTTTTATGATTGATTTGGTTTCGGGGTTCGGGTCTTTGAATGTTACTGTCCGGTTTTAGCTGTTTTTTCACGAAATAGATGAGGAGTTGGGCGCGGGGGGGGGTCGATTGGGGTGGTGGTGGTGGGGGGTCGTGCTGGACTTCAGGCATCGTGCCCATGGGTATTGATAGATCAAATCGATCGATTAATGGGCTAGTTTATGATGCTGATTTGAGAGCTACAGCAGTAGATGAATACCCGACGAATTTTAACTGCGTCCTTGAAATTTACTCTTTAGCTTTTTGCCTGCTTGCAGCCTCCGCCAAACAACGAGCGTTTACGATCCTCTGCGTTGGTGGTGATGGCGGTGATGGTGGGACCCTTCTCCTCCCCCCGGGCTGGTAGAGGTGGACAATGGAAGGCGTCAAATCACGCGTTAAGCGATCACGACACGTTCATCCATGAGCTGTACGTCGGTCCACTCAAACAAAGTCAACCTGCTGTCGACTCTGCAAAATAGAGTACTTATCCAGCAGAAAAAAACTACCTTGAGTCTACAGGTAGGTTTGTTCGTCGTTCTGTCGGTTTCTCAAAAAACAGAAGAAAACGTGTGCGAGGGTAGACGAAAGGCAACGTACAGAGAGAGCAAGAAGTAGAGAAGCGGAGGCGGACAAGAAACTTGTGTATAGGATCTACAATCATCGCTGTATACCATATATGACACAAGATAACACACCCCTGGACCGATTTTCAAAGCTCGGTTACTCCACGACGAAGAGGATGAATAAACGAAACGATACATTTTCGAAAAGCTCTTGACGAGACGGTTTCAACGCCGCCGTTTTCGGCGCTGTGACTGTTCCGGCAGTTGAGAAATCGAGCTTCGAAAATCGGTCAAGGGTGTGTGTTATCTTGTGTCATATACGGTTACGTCAACGACTTACGACAGGGAATGGGTGTACGCACAGCAGTAATAATGTACGGCAATGCAGGTTCCAAGTAAATCTATACCAAACCCTATACAAATACATGAGCATGGTTCACCACACGTTGTCATTATATTTCACTGAACCCCACTACCAAGCAACAGCAGACACCGCCCGAGGGTTGGGACCAGTGGATCCGTTTGTACAACCGTGGGAGCTCTCCTCTTGAATTGCATTATGTTGTTGTTGCTGTTGTTGTCGTCACATTAAAAACCGTTCCGATCACTCTCTACCCAGTACCTTCGTATGTCCGTACTGATACAACACTCGACGCGATCGATTCCCGCGGTCGCAGGCTAACTTACTACCCTAAAAATGGTGCGCTCAAATAAAATGGCCCCGAGGGGTCCGCAAGTCAATGGAAATCAACGCCAGATATTCTGGAGTCCTCCACTCCCTCTGCGCGCTATGTGAGGTAACAACTGAGACTAGGGGTCACCATCACGGGCCGGAGAGAATGAGGTACACCCCCTTGGTTCAATCTTGGTACTTCACAACGCAAGCAGAGACAAGACCATCCGGCACAGAGAAAGAGAGAAACAGAGAAAAAGAGGAAGAAGAAAACATTAGGAAACAGTAAGGAACGACAGCAGTAATAAGGAACGAGAAAATGAAATGAAAAGAGCGAAGACTAAAAGGGACCAGGCCGAAAATAACAAGTAATAAGAGATAGAAAAAGGCACACGGTGGAGAGAACACTAACGACAAGCAAACACGGAAACATGGCCACCACGATACATTGTAATGGTACGTCATCACTAGTGGGGGGTTGGTGCAATGGTGCAGCGTTGGGGGGGGCGAATTGGCTAAAAGAAATTCAATCCGGCACGTATCGCGCCACTCGGTCCGTCTCTTCTCGTTTGCTTTTTTCTCTCGCCGTCTCGTCCGTGTCCTGCCCCCCTGCCGCCCCATTGGTTGGTGGCTTGTGGTTTCGTTCGAGCGCCCGTTGTCGACTGGCCTCTTCTTCCTTCTCGTGCCAGGAGGTTATGGTACTCCTCCCTCTTACTGCTTGTGTGTTCCGGTGAATCCTTGTAGGTACACCGTGGAAAATATAGTTCCAGACTGCGGTGACCCGCGCCTGCTCCCTCTTGTGTGCTCGGTTGGGCTGTTAGGCACATTGCTTGGCTTTACCTGACAGGTTAGAGCTGCTTGTTACCCAGATCTTGGAACGCTCTCAAGGAACTCCCACAGCAGGTGATGCGTTCGGCAGTGGTCTGCAATGCTGGTCTTGTTTTCGTCATAACACGCATTTTTGACATAGCATGCGCCCACGTGTCCTGACAACTTTTGTGTGTGCAGAAGCACAGCAGCGGTGAAAACATCAGCTGCTTTTGCTCTGTGAAGGAGGTGCGTGGGTGTACTTGCAGCAGGATTCACATCTGTGCGTGGGCATAGCACCGCGTTGCATGACAAGAATAAACACGCTGAAAATCGCCTCACTCACTCTCTCTCTCTCTCTCTCTCTCTCTCTCTCTCTCTCTCCCCGCCCTCGTCTTTTTCCCGCTGAGAAAAGTTGCAATACTGTATGGCTTGATTTGAACACATGCGAGCCCCAAAGCTTCTAGATCACTCTCTCCAGGTCTCTACATACTGCTGCTTCTCGTGCTTGTCTATTGAACATCAAATGCGCCCGCCAGCAATATCCGGGGGCCCAACTATGTGCGGTGAACACCTCGCCTCGAAACCTGGCGCCTGCTCGTAACCGATCTATGCATAAGCAAAGCGCTCCGGCTGCTGGCATGTGTAGTGTTCCGGACTATCCATACCTCCTGTTGGATGTTTTGTGGCCAGAATATGTCTCGAGGAGCGAACTATAAACAGCGTTCATTTTTTTTCCAGAGGGCCGTCGGAGATTTCAATGCCGCATGGCGTGTTGGGTGTGTGTGCGTCAGTCAAGTCTTTGTCGTTGCCCTCTCTGTGCAGGGGATGCACAAATTACCGCACCGTGTAGATATGTACATCGCCGCTGTTAGCAGGCCGGGTGCGTGCGTTGTCGTCGCGTGATTGGTGGGATCGCCGGCAACATGTCGTCCTCCGAAGCATCTTTGCGGGCGATTTCTGACGTTTCGCTTGGATACTTCTGTAGCCGAACGCATTCCTGCTTTATAGAACATCATGCTCTGTTGCCTGTACACCCACGCGTGAAATAGAGTATGTCATGTAACGTAGCGTATGGCTTTGTGCCTGCCTTTCTCTAGGGAATGGTGAAGAAGACACCAGTGATGGTGTTGATGGGTAGTTCGGCTTCCCTGCCGCAGCAGCAGCGTTTTCGCTACCGTACATATTGCCTCGGTGGTCTAGCGGGTAACCTCGCAGCCTGCTAAGGGCCAGGTCATGGGTTCGAGTCCCGGCAGAGTGAGATTTTTTCTCACTATTTAGTCTACATCCTGGACTTGGATGAAAGCGACGCGCTGCAAAGCTCGTTGTTAGTAAACCATAATCGACTTCGTAACTCGAGAGGCAAGGGATTGCTGTACCCTTCTCGCGATAAAAATACCTCAGGCAGGAACCGCACGAGGGGGTCCAGCCCCCCCCTCATTTGTGACCCCGGTTGGGTCGTCTAGCGAGTAGAACTGGAGGATAGGGGTCAGAGGGGCAGACGACAGAGTCCAATGATGGGAGAAACAAAAGAGATTAAGGTTCCCTTCCGCAACAGCAGTAAATAGTGTCGCCTTGTTCGCCCCCACGTCACTGAGAGGAACTTAAATGAATATGACGTGCTGTGCAGCGCACATGCATATGCAAAGCTGTAGCTGAAGCAATCATGCAAAACCTCCTCCGCCTCGCCCCTCCCACTTTATGCATGATCATCACCGGTGAAATCGAAACGCGTGGTGTCCGCTGCTGCTGTCTCCCCCACCAGTTTCGTTCCGTTCTTTTCAATTGTATACACATGCTGTATCTACTTCTAGCAACTGACACGAGTTTAATGTGAACAAAAAACAACAATAGCCTCTTATGTTTTTTATTTTTATTGTTTTCATTTTCTTCACAAATATACCATCTGTATCCTTAGAAAGGAGTCTAAGGTGGATTACTGCCGTGGCAATGAATCCTTCGCGTGAGCGAAGGCTACCTGTGTTTCCACGATATCCCGAGAGCAGCACACAGCGATACCTCCCCCATGAGTAATACGCCCCCCATGGGTATAACAGGGTCGTTTTGTGTTTTGCCTTCCTGGTATGCTGCCGGATCTTCACAACTGCGGCACCTGCGACTCCGCTCGCCTGTGGACTACATTTCGCCTCGGCGAAACTGATGCCAGTATGTTTTACCAGTAGTTGTTTGTTTGGGCCTCGCCGAACAGCAGAAGCATGGTTGTGCGTCGTATCAACGGTCGCCGAAGTGCTGTGTGTGTTTTTTTTCGTCTTATTCATTATGGCGACAGTGCCCCCTTGTTTCGTGGTGAGACGAGTAGTACGCATAGAACGAGGTACACCAGGGCTTTTTTCTTCTTTTTTATTTATTTTCAGGCCTCACCATCCTCCTGCGGTGCGTGCTGAGGGTGGCTCTTGTCAAAAAAAAGTGCAGGATCAAAAATCGAACAAATAAAAAAAAATGCCGCTGATTGGCTCTTTCCCACAGATTCCGCCGCCGAACCTTGTAGACAGATGTTGTTGTTCCGAAAGTTCTTCCAAATGGCAAACTAAAAAAAAAGTAGCGAAAAGACTGAAAACGCGGCTTAACAATGAATAGACCATGAGGTGGCAGGAGACGCTCCTCCTCCCACAACCCAGGCAACATCTTCATGAGCGATTCCAGAGGCGCCAACACAGACAGCAGCGCAGCAGGCGCCACGGGCGTGGTGGGAAGCTTTGTTTTGCCCCGGCAGTCCTCCCCCCGGCAAGCCGTTGGCGGGAGTGCACACGCAAACATGATGACTCCTCCGGCGCCACCACAGCATCTCTCGCACATTCCGCCCCAGCAGCAGCAGCAGCAGCAGTACGTAGGCATCGCTGCTGCCGCTGCGGCCGCCGCTGCTGCTGCTGCTGCGGGTTCTCCGGCGTCAGCTCCGCCAGCGTTTTTTCCTGGATCTGCTGGATTTCCCCCAGCGTGCGGATTGTCCATCCCTCCCTTAGGTGGCCCAGGCGCGCATGTTTGCAGGATGGACCATACCACCCCCGTCTCCGCAATGGCCGAGGCCGGGAAACCTGCCGGCGCCCGCGCCAGGGCCAGAATTACTGCCGGGCCTCGCGCCAGGGCCGGGATCGCCGCCAGCCTTCCCGCCAGGGCCGGGATCGCTGCCGGCCCTCGCGCCAGGGCCAGGATCGTCCGTGCACCTCCTACGTTCGCCCCCAACATTACCGCCCAAGCCCATCCGGGAGGAGCAGCCGGACTATGCCGACTGGTTGCTCCCGGCATGTCAAATGGAGATGAAGAGGGGCGCGGAGGCAGCGGGCCACAAGGGAGCCTTTCGGTACGGTGATGGGGTCGACGAGGTCAACACGTTGATGTCGAGCGTGAAGAAGCTAGAAACTGTAAAGCTGCCCCTGGCCCAGGACGCGTGGCGTGCATCCAAAGGTGTCGACGCTGATTGGAAGCAAGCTCCGCAGGGCACCCCGCAAGCGAAGAGGGTGGCGAAGGAAGCGAAGGCGAAGCTTGTTGCCGAGGAGGAAGGCCGCAAGAGCAGATGCCGTTCCAGCGGGGATGCGGCAAGGTTGTGCTTCATCGTGTTCTCGGACGAGATTTACGAGAAGGTCCTCACCAGCGAACAGGCGCCCACGGATCGAAACAAGCGCGACAACCATGCCATTGGGGTGAACGATCCAGATGGGGTTTGGGATGAGATTTTTGACCACCTCGCAAACGAAAATTTGAGGCCCGGTGGGGTACGCGCTGGCAAGCCCAAATCGCACGACGGCAGCACCCCACCGGGAGTGCCCAAGATGTGGGAGGCGCTTCAATCGCTCGACTATGACGATTCAGCGAAAAAGTGAGTTTTGTGATTTCGTCAGTATGTCGCACATTTGAGACATACATACATGTGGTGCTGCTGGTTCGCTTATGTCACATGTAAAGGGCAGGTGCCCGGGGAGTTGCGGCTGTTATTTCTCCTTACCCCCGCGGAACGCAGCTTTTGTTTGACTTCCTTTGGAAAGGGGCCCGAAGGTTAACAGTAGGAATGCCAGCTGCCAGTTCTTAATTCTTGCCGCTTATTTTATCAATTACGGGGGCGCTGGTTTCTTGGCTTATGGTACAGTGCCTTATGTGAGTTCCTCGCTCAAACGTCTCGCTATTGTTTTCAGGCGGAGGGAAGGATGGACGTTCAAGGAAGGGTTGCGGCAGGGAGAGCCGGACAAGGCCCGCGCCCGCGAGAAGGTTAAAGGCTGGTGGACGGACATGCGTGCGGAGTTGAGGGTGAGTTTTCGGACAACGTTCCACGGCGGGTGGATTTGGTATTTTCCGATTCCCTTTAGAACTACTCGCGCAAGAAGCCCACCTCCGTGTTTGACAGCATTTTGTTGGTAGCCGCCCTCGTTGGGGACGCATTGGATCTTTCCTGCGGTGGGAGTTGGGTTCAAGTAACCCGCCTCGTCCAGACGACTGTCTACCCTCCTGTGTCCTATCCCCTGGTCTGTTTTTTTTTTCTTTGCGGGTGCGGGGGGCGGGTTCAGCTTTCCTGCATGCCGGGTGCTGTTGTTACAGGACGCAAGCCCCCCCGCCGTCTTTTTTTTTTTTTGTCTTTAGAAGTGGTAGTTGGTCGACAAACCGCCCCCGTCCAGACGACCGTCTGCTCTTCTCTGCCCCATGCCTTGGTCTGTTTTTTTTTCGGACGAGGGGGGCGGGTTCAACATGCATACATAGTATGTGCCGGGTGTTGTTAGAGAACGAAGCCCTTCACCCGCTCTTGTTTTTTCCCATATTTTTTTGTCTGCAGTGGTGGTTGGTCGACAAACCGGCTCCGTCCAGACGACCGTCTGCCCTCCTCTGCTGCCCCGTCCTCTGGTCGTTTTTTTTGGGGAGGGGGAGGGATGGAACGGGTTGAACGGGCATATGTGCCGCGTGTGTTTCAGTCCAGTGGCACACGACCCCTCCAGTTTTTTTTTTGTTTTTTCGGTCTGACGCACGCGGCGGTGCAGCACTTGTTCGAAACATTCCCGCCCAGACGGCAGTCTCCCACAGTGTCCTCCTTCCTGGTTTGTTTTGACGTCGGGTGCGGGCACACGTGTCGCGTGCTTGTTTCATCGGTACCTACCTGACATCCCCTACGTTGTGTGCTGGGTGAACGTTGTAAATGTAGGCGTCGCTCATCGCGGGTGGTGTCTAGAACGCGTTTGATCTCCGTTGGGGAAAGTTGGGACGTTCAGAAATATGTTTTCCCGAACCCCAACTCCTTCCATCTTTTGTAACCCCGGTTTTCATGCCAACTCATGTAAATGTTTTCCAGATCACCAAAAAGAACCAAGAGAAGAGTGGGAACAACGCTGAACACGACTGGTCCTTCTGTAACCAGAAGCTGTGCGTCCTGCTCATGATGGACTGGTACGAGCTAAGGGGAGGCGACAGCGCGAACGAGGACTGCGCAAGGTACTTCAGCGTGAGGCTCAGCGAGGAGGATGGGGAAGCTTTCAACACTCTGTCCATGGAAGACGAGCAGTCGTCCAGCGATTCGGATGAACCGCCCGCTCCGAAGGGGAAGCCGCGAGCGCGGAAGGCGAGGGAGAAGGGGAAGGTCAAACCGGAAGAAACCTTGGTCCAAC